TAAAATATAGTATTTTTTTCAGTATACACACAAAGAATGACTTTGCTGGAATACAAATTTAGTTGGATATAGATCTGAAATTTTGTTGCACTATCAAAATATTAGGTATGGGAAAAAGTTCGTGGTGTTTTTCTCGTTAGATATAACGCTACGAACTTTTTCCCATACCTAATAATTATGTAAGACTGAAGCGTCATGAGCAATGTTGCAAAAAATTTTAAAAGTAAACTTTAGTCATCTTGAGCTTTAGCTATCTTACATAAATATTTTGATGATACAGCAAAATTATTTTTAGATCTGTACATTGAAAAAATTTCTGATTGAAAATAAATGAATCCGAAGATTCTGATCATAGCGATCAGAATTCTGAATTATTTCAATTAGAATTATAATAGATTCAACCAAAAAATTCTGATTTGTTAACTTTCAATCAAACTGTCAATTAATTCATATTCGTTTTCCAATGTAGCTATATTTTTACTATTTTTAGATATTTCAGCAAAAAATTTTTTTGTACCTATTATATTTATAAAACGGCTGCTTCAACTAACAGATTTTTGATATCAAAATAGCTTTTTTCATACAAAATTTACTCGATTGTAAAGGCTGTATCACACTGATAATTTAACGTAATTTTTAATCTTTTATATCATCGTCTGAAATCGATAACTAAATTATTAATCGTGTGTATAATTGTGACATTGCTCGTGAATTTTAATTGGAGGATTGGTGGAACAGCGGCTGCGATAACGACGACCTCCGACAACTAGCGCTACGATAACGACGATCGTGATAAACACAATCGTGCTTGTTATCTGCTCATGACGTTTAACGTAATATAATGCACCGGTTTTGCGCAAATCGAACATGTCTTACCGCATAGATTGAAGCACACTTTAATTTTTCAAGGACAAATTTCTTTAAGTTGATAACATTTCCAATGTGTGTGACTAATAAATCGCGAGATCAGAAAAACAACTATGTCATGCATAATCACTGTATATAGAATATAGAAAATATGCGATCATAAGTAGATCATATGATTTACTTTCATTTATTTGCTTATTTTTTGAAAATAACCAGACATTTTTTATACATTGTAAAAAAATTGTGTATCAACAGTATTGTTTCAATTGAAAATAATTTTGTTAATTCAGTAATTCACTATTAATGTGAAATAAATAACATTTTATTAAAATAACATAAGAGTATAACGTATTTATATTAATAGTATTATGAATTAACGAAATTGTTTTCAATTAAAACAATGCTGTTTGGTATAACATCATTTTTTTCAGTGTATAGTTTATGCGACATAGGAAATAAGAAAATGTGAAAAATTTATGTAACGTTAAAAGTCTCTCAATATTTATACTTTCTAGCATTACTTTTCGCACAGATTTCGAAACGGTCTATGTAATGCATTCGACATTAATAATATCTAACGGCACCATTCGCGTGTAATTGGCTGTCGCAATTGTCTTATTGATAAAGCGTTGCAGCTAGAATAGGTCGCCATATGTCGAGATACAGAATTAAACCGCAAAAGAGACGGTATTTCCTGTTTTCTCGTTCTTCTGCGGTAGCGAGATATTTCCTGCGCGCTCGCGAAAGTAGGCACATAACATTTCTACCGTTTTTATTCCACGCGAAATACATTTATTACGAGACATAACAGCAGAAACGTAGTTATCATTAATTCGTAATAATATAGTATTGCCAAGTTACCATGTTGTTGTTAAATTAATGTATGATATTAATATTACATAAAAAATGACATGTGGGAAAATTTATTTAACTTAATCGATAAATTCTCAGCGTGTAAAAAGTGATTTATATTTCATGCAAAATATATTAAAAGATATAACAGGAGAGACATATGATTATCAATAATTCATAATAATCTAGTATTGCCAAATGATTGCCATGTTGTTAATTAATCTAATATATTAATATTAAAAAATATTATAGTATATCGCAGAAAATATTTTTTAGATTTAATCGATAAATTCTCAACATATAAAGAACAATTTATTTTATATGAAACACATCATTTAGAGACAGGATATAATTAGCATTCATTAAAAAAAAATCTAGTCGTCAAATGATTGTCGATTAAACCTGTGATATCAATATATGTATTACGAAAAACGTTATATCATGAAAAATGTTAATATCACGAAAAAATTTATTAAATTTAATCGATAAATTCTTAGCATATAAAAACGATGTTTGATATTTCACGCATTATTGAGAGAAAGAAGTGACAGGACGCGATTAGCATTCATGCAAAAAATCTAGTATTGTTAAGTGATTGTTGATTAAAATATATGATATTAATATCGCATAAAAAATGCAATGTAGACATTTTTTTAAACTTAATCGATAAATTCTCAATGTATAAAAAATGATTTATTTTATGTAAAATATTATTAAAAGAGAGAGACAACATGAAAGACTTACGTGATTATTATTAATAATTTAGTTGCCAAGTGGTTATTATATTGTTGATTATTAAACTAATATGTATATAATATTAATATAAATTAAGAATACAGATATTAAATAATTATTTTTTCCGTTGAATTGTCTAATTATCAATCTAATTCAGCCAGGATCTCTTCTTGGCATCTCTTTTACGCGCAATGGGATGATTAGAATGTAAAATTTATCAAAGTGCGGAAAGTTTTGCCTCGTGTAACTTCGGTTACGTTACTGATAAACACGGAAATCGTGTTTACCTTCATCGCAAATGACAACTCATCTACGTATCAGCATATAATATATTTCATCATAGAACTGCGGAAATTTTCTAATCTTGTTCTACTTTGCGCGGATAGCAGATCCGTGTGACAAAGTTGTGCGGCTTCTTGTTGTCTTTTTGTTTTTGTTTTGCTGCGCCGCAAAACGAGTCTTCGCGACGCGTAGCACAATCGATCCGGTCTATCTTGTCTTTCTCTTTTTCTCTCTCAACGACCGGAACAGTGCGATCATTGTTCAATAATGGTGTCAGTAGAAGTTGAAAGGGCTTATAGGTGATCGAATGCCTTGACTAATTATCTAATCGGGCGAGGGTTGGATGAACGCGATAAGCAATTTATGCGTGGGTATAGTAGGTACGTTGATGGACCAAGCGTCCGTCGCAGATTCCGGCCATTATCTCTTGCATTTAACCCTCTCGTACTTGAATTATGCCTAAATGCCAAAGGGAATATCAAAGGAGCTTAGGTACTATCTTCAATACATGTTATATAGTGTCCGCTCATTAGACGCAACAAATTGTTGTTCTATGTATATGAAATAATTTTTTGTTTTACAATTTGAAATTATGATTATATTATAACATCATGCTAAATACAGAGGATTTGGATTCTACAACATTTCTACATTTCTTTTTAATAAATGTTTAATAAATTCTCAGGATATGTACAATTGATGTTTTTTTTTTTAAAGGAAAATATCGGCATTCTGTATTATATTTTTGTTACATCAGAAAAATAGACGTAATGGTAGCAAAATTGTATAGATAACAATTGCACAATTTATGTTGTCTCATTACTTGAAAAGTAATACGCTTAAGTTTTTCGAAAAAGGGGAAGAACTTTTCTAACAGAAAATTATTGACTCAAATAATATTAACAAAAAGATCATCTATTTTGAGAAACATAAATATTATTTTTGTCATTTTTGTTTCACAAAAATCTCTCCTAAAAAAATCATCCTTTTTGAATTATGATGATTTTAAATAATCCTAAAAAATTATAAAATCAAAATAATTCATCAAAAGTGACATAACTCAAAATATCACCAGTAATATGTTTATTTTGATCAGCTATATATAATATATAATGACTAAATTCAAAATTAAACAATTTCTTCTTCTTAAACTTAATCACAAACTATCTTAATTTTAAATAATCTCTTTAGAAGACTCTCCTTTTTATTTACAAAAATGTAAGATCAGAATGTGTCATTCTTGTGGAAGGAATTATGATTTATGATCTCTTTGAAAACCTTAAGAACGACAAATGCTATTTAACGAACGGACTGTGAAATTAAGTTGGTTTACTTTTCATGATTGATAAATTATATCTATAATTAATTCATTCATGATAATAACTGAAAAATCACTTTATTGCAGTTTTGTCATTTTTTAAGTAAGGCAACGATATTTAGGATTAACGATATTTAGAATTTTGTATATAGTTTAATAAGTTATTTTGCAATTATTGTAACTATAAAATAAATAGTTTATTCAATTATGTAACTACTAGGTTCCCAAAGTTTGGAAATATATTAAAAGATATATTAAAAGATTCACATTTCTGAGAATATTTGAAATATTCATAATAATTTGTTTTTGTAACAATAATTTTTTAATTTAACAATGATTTATTTTTTAAACAGTTATTAAATCTGAACTTGTTCAAAAAATACATTACGGATATTGGAATAGTATAAATCTGAATACAATATCGATTTAAATTTTGGCCTGAAATATACATTAATTCTAATATAAAACTTGTCATTGTGTAATTGTTATCATATTTTTCTCTGAGTGTGTATAAAAAGAGGAATAATTTTTGCTCTATCTTACATTATATCTTTTTCGCTGAGTATTTTTGACTTAATTTTTGGAAGTCGCATGTACGATTCATCAAGTGGATCGAATGATCAACAATTATTCGGGGCTTTAAGGTCGCGATTAAACAACGGAAGTAAAGGTCGCGCGGTGCATCGGAAGCAACACGGCAGATTGTGCCGTACATATCTATATATATCTATATGTATATGGCTTGTCGCGTCGCGCGTGTATCGTATGGGTGGTAAAACAGCGTCTACGAGGCTGGGCCGCGCATGTCCACCCGCAGATGTCGCCCACGTTGCCAGGTGCGCTCGACCAATGGGCGAGCGCTTACGGCCCCCCGTCCCTCCGTCGATTGGCCGCTCCTGCGGTGGCACGGACAGTGATCGCAATATGGCTTCCGCCAGCGCCAGCGAGTGAGAGTACCTCTGATAAAGGTGACATCGGGTCATGGCGAGGTATTCGGGGACGCAGGTGTCGTCGCGCGCGTTAAAATCGCCGTGCGTCAATCTTACCGTCGCGCGGATTTATATGGTCGCGTAGTTGGTGCCCTGTAAGCAGTTGCAAGTGCGGCAAAACAATCGCTCCGTGTGAAGGTAGACGGAGAAAGGAGACTGACGGAGTCGGAGAGACAGAGTTAGAGACAGTGGAGAAAGAGCGAGTGAGACATAGTGAGCGAGTGAGTGAGAGAGAAAGAGTGAGAAAGAGAAGGAAGGGGGAGAAAACGCGACGGAAGATCTGCGCGTTCCGCTCCGTTCGAATCGAACGTAATCCTCAACTAATTTCGCGCGGCAAGTGAAACAAGTGACTGTCGCGGCGGATCTTAGCGCAACTTGACGGCGTAGCGCGACGCTGCGCGAGGGAACGCGGTGTTCGCGATTTCTTCGGCCGTCGTGAATACGTGCCGATTATCGCGTGCGAATCGAGCGAGAATCCGAGCGAGCAGCGAAAGACAAAAAAACAGAAACTAAAGAGAAAGAGAGGACATCGGAGGAGACTGTGTAGTCTTAGCGAGTGTCTCGAATTCGACATCGTGAATCTGATTGTGAGTATTCTGAGTCCACGGCATCGAGGAACGACGGCGCGTCACCGGTAGCACTCCGCACTCCGTGTGCGTGCGTGCGTGCGTGCGTGTGTGTTGCGTGTATACAGGTAGTAGAAGTAGGTGCACGTATCGGGCGCAGGGGACGACATTGGAGCAGCGGACACACATTGGAGTAAGCGCGGTGAGAGAGCGGTGAATGAGCGGGAAGTTGTGAGCGCACGGTAAAGAGAGAGAGAGAGAGAAAGTTAGCGTGCCGAGGGACAGAGGAGAGACGATATACACGCGGGGTGTATGACGGCGTTTCGGTGCGGCGAGGCGACGTTGCCAGAGTTTTCCCCCCCGTCGCGTACTCCGCTGTTACACGCCACTACTATACGACGGCACGAGGGAGAGGTAGAGGAGGGTGGCGGACACAAGAACGACCACACGGCGATCACGGTGGTGTGTTAGTGCCGCGGCGTGCGGTTGCTGGTAGTGGTGCGTGGATTGCGTCGCGCCAACGAGAATCTAGACGCGCGCCGATCTCGTCCTCCCCGCGAATCCCCGAGAGCCCCGCGACGAGAGGATATACGCCGCGGATACCATGGAACGACGCCTGACGACGTACGTTCGTAGCGACACGTGACATGCCGAGCCACAAGCCAGCGCAAGCCATGAAGAAGCCGCCACGGTGAGTGGAGACAGAATCCGCTTGATTTGCGTCGTTTTTTTTTCTTGTCCTTTGCGCTCTCCGCTCTCGAGCTCCCTTCTTTTTCATCGAAAGCGGCGAGTGCATCTGCGCGTCGAACGTTCTCGCCTAGGCGATCTGCTCGCCTTTTTTCTCGAACAGTCAAAGATGAAAACGAGAAAACACTTAAAAACTACTTAAAAACATAGAATCGAGGAATCAGGTCACTTTTGACATTTGGTTGAACGAATTCTTATCACAGCAGGAAATTATTTATCTGCGGGGGATCTTGCCATAATCGCTGCAACCTACGAAACGAGATGGAGAAGGGATGACTTCGTTATCTTAGATTTCCTTTAAAGTCTAAACACTTTTTTAATCAGATCTTTAAAACATTTCTTTTAATGATGAAAGTGTTTTAAAAGAAATCTGGATTTCTTCAATCAATCAATTAGAATTATAATAGATTTAATCAGAAAATTCTGATTTTTCGACTAGAATTAATGCAATCAGATTCTTTTTCCAGAGTTTCTTTTAAGAGGTTCCTTTTAAGACATTTCCACCAACATTTCAACAGAAATGTTTAAAGGTCTCAATGGCGTTAAATTTAAAGGGAAACTTAAGATAATGAAGCCAACCTCTTCCATCTTGCTTGGTAGGTATTGAAGGAAACCTAGATGTCTTTTAAGACACTCCCACTGTCGGTAGAAATATTTGAAAGTTACAGTGATACGTGATTTGAAGCGTTCAAAAGTTGACGTTTCACATTTTAGAACGCTTTTTTATATCTCTCTGTGACCATTTTTTAAAGATTTTTAAAGTACCGACAGTAAACGTGTTTTAAAGGTTTCAATAGCGTTTAAAGCCAATTCTCAGCTGCTTATTCGTCATCAGTAGCGTTTTAAAAGCCTGCCGAACAGCTTAAGGATTTCTCTAGGGGGTTGCTCGGGGTAATTCGGGGTCACTGATACGTTACTGCGGCTGCAGAAGCGGGTATTCGTCCCCGTGGTGGTAAAGCGGTGCGATTATGGGGGATGAGTCACAGAAGATTGACGCCTTGTTTATTGATCTTGACGCGGATGCATGGCGCTTGTTATGGCATCGTCGTTGGTTGCTGTCGTTAGTTCATCGAAAGTATAGCATGAATTTTAGCATGTTAAGGAGTCGTCAAGATGATTGTTTCAGTGATTTTCCACGAGAAAATATCCGGAGCATCCCGTTAACCGCTGCAACTTTTATAAAGTTTGTAGAAAAAAGTTGTTAGAACTTTTTTTGATCTTTTATCCCTTTGAATATTTAATTATTGGAATTTTTTTTAAGATGTAATTTTAGCAATCTTTATACAAGAAAGTCAGAAGTTTATTAATTATATTAAAATTTTAAGAATTAAGAGTTTACTTTTTTAAAAAAATAACATATAGGTTTCTTTCAATTTAATTCAGCATTAATTCTTCCTTGATGAAAATATTGAGTATGTTTATCATTTTTCATGTGTTATGCATTTATATAATTCAATCAGTAATTTCTAATTAAATTTCTGTCGAAATCACGTTTATTTGTAATTAACCGAGGAATGTGATTTCATCTAGTTCCCGGAAATTTTCTATCTCTGATCATTAATTATGTGAGAAGTACTGATGTTATATGTTTATTGAGACAAAAATTGTTTGAAAATACACTACTTCCAACAAAATTAAAGGATCATTGAAAATAAGCGCTGAAAAGGATCAAAGTCACGTATTCTTGTGAAAAAAATAATCGCAGAAAGATATTTAAAAAGATGTTTTAAAGTTTGAAATTCCAACTTTTGAATGCTTTAAGTCACGTCTCTGTAACGATTTTACTACAAACGACACTAATTTAAAGTGAACTTTGAAAAATTGTTTGCAGTGAAATTGTTTCAAAAACATGGGGTTTGGAGTATTCGAAAGTTGAGGTTTCAAGCTTTAAAATGCTCTTTTAAACATCTGCGCAAACATTTTTCGCAAACTTAACTTTAAATTTTGTTCTTTTCAGCAGTGATTTTATGTGATACTTTAATTCGTTAAAAAAAGAATCTGATAATAATTATCAAATGTTGAGTGAAATAATTTTAATCATACGTTTAGTTAATATAACTAAAACTTTAATTGAAATTATTTCACTCAATATTTGATAGCTATTACCAAACTCTTTTCAGTGTAGTATAATTGAATAATAATGATTTTATTTATTTACAATGTAAAAGCGACTATTAGTATATGCACTGACTATTTATTATTTTATTTATTAATTTTTAGAAAATAATTGATACTGGAATACACTTTAAGATGTATTAAGAATATCTGGGAAAAAATTAAGATTAACTTTCTAGATTATCCAAGGAATTCTTAATTCGACATGATAATAATTGAACTCTATTAATCCAAGCAATGTGTGAATGTATGATTTCGTGTGCGGAGAATATAAAGCGGACTGCGTTCTTAGGAATTTATTAATGATGTAGAAAGAGAGAATGTGATTTAACCAGGAAATGGAATACGCATTGCTTTAGATTAAGATAAGATACTTAGAAAAAAATGGAATTAATGGTGAGGAAGGAAGTCACTTAATAAAAAAAAAATGGAATGAAATTGAATTAAACTTATAAAGTAAGAATAATATAAATATAAATATATAAATTACATTTTTTTGCATATATATTTTTACTCGTATACAAAGAAGTTACCTGGAAGTTCAATTAGCCATACATAAGGTCGATAACTGGTATCTTCCGCGAGAAGGAGATTTACTCGGAGTTTTTACGGGAGCATGGAAATTTTATTCCAACTGCGGCGCGCAACAAAAGTTTGTAATTCGAAATACTTTAGGTCCCAGCGCTATACCAGTTAGCGAAACTTGAAATCCGAGCTACTCACCGCTCGTTCTCAGGAATGAATTTAATCGTGTCACGAGTTTTATTCCCGAGCCAACTTTCGACGAGGAGGAAAGCGCGCGCGATCGCGGTCTTTAAGCCCTGGCGAAGTGTCGAAGAGATGAGCACGACGTTTAGGAATTCGAGGGTCGAACTCGCGTAGCGACGAAGAGACGTTCCAAATACTTGCCGGTTCGCCGTTCGTTGTCGACGATGGTTGTCGGTGTTCGTCTCGATGTAGAAGCTGCGTAGGTCGCTAAATTATGGAGCAACGGGATAAAGGAGAGCCAAGGGAAATGAAGAGAAAGAAAAGAACGGTTGCTCGGGTCGTATCGTTGACGCTGAATAATTCTTCGCGCGTTCAAAGACTTTAATTCGCGATCGTTGTAGCGAAAATTTTAGTCCTTCCTCCATTCAACGTTTTTTATACCTTTCTCTATGATTTCTCCTGTGTGTTTACGTTATTTTAATTATTAGCGTAATACGTTATAAATAATATATCATGATAAACAAAATATGTAATAATATAAAACTTAATTTAAAATTTATTATAAAATAGATTTATTATAAAATTTATTAGAAAATAGAAATATAAATATCCATACGTGTAATTAATATGAACGCTATCACATTAATTGCTCAACTGCCTACTTATTGGATTTGTATATTAATGTCTTAAAAAAGACTATTTTTTAATATTAAGTAAAATATTACGTAAAATTATCTTTTTTCCTTCTTTTTATAGATTGAACTAAATATCCGCATGTTTCAAGATATTATCAGATATTACATATTTTTTAAATATTATTAATTTTCTTTGGAAATCTTATAATTATTTTCTTATCTGCTTTTATACTTCTTATTAATTATTTTACACATACTGTTTATTGACTTTGTCTATTTTCCATGCCTATTACGCGGTGTTTACACTACAATAAATCTTAAGCTCAGAGTTGGCAAAATTCCATACTTTTTAGGTAACGTCCACGTCAGCAGTAAAAATCGGTATTTTTAGGAACTGCTGATCTTCTATTAAAAACAATAAAATAAATAGAAAATTTTATTATCAATATTTTTACTTATAGTCAGTATTTTATCACTATTCTAGTTAAGTGTCAACCGAAAGAATTTTTTCCAATTTAAACTTTATCCAAAATGAAATTTATAATAGATTAAGAATCGATGTAATAATAAAATAAATTTTTTTTGTCGTAAGATATTAAATGGTAAACTAGATGACAAGTCATTCTCTTCATATTGGACTGTTATTGGTTAATTTTTTAAGGTTTTAAGATTTAAGGTTTAAGGTTTTACTATTCTATTGTAGACACCTCGATAGACATCGTGAAAATAATTTCTGCTTTCTTCATATTTTTTGTATGTTTTTTTGTTAACCTGCTCTTGGAAGGCGAACTATTCGAACGACTATAAAAGCGAGTCTATTCTTGTCTTGTACTTTGTTAGGCAGTCAAAAAATCACGTAGTATATAAAACAAGCATACGAATTTTATATTTTTTATATTTTTTATATTTTTACGATGTAAAAAGGACCTAATCTTACAAAAATGAATATTTATTGATTCTTTATTGACTCAGTCACAGCCATCCAAAGATTAATATCCGTGAGTCTTTATTTTTTATTTTTTCGTCGGCAATGTGAAATTTTCACCTTTCGATTGCAACCTGAGTTTTCGAACTTCAATACAGCTTTTATATTGTTCCGAATTGTGTGAAAATCTAAAGAAAATTCTATATATTTGTGAAAGTTTTAACAATAATTTTTTATTGTCAGAAGTTAGAAGTTAGAAGTTCGATATTTAAATTTCTTTATCAGAATTTACCAGAAAAATAATTTTTGTTAAATAAATTTAAATCTGTAAAATATAAGTAAAATATAATCTAATTTTTATGACATCGTGACAATAATTTCTGCTTTCTCCATATTTTTTGTACGTTTTTTTGTTAACCTGCTCTTGGAAGGCGAACTATTCGAACGACTATAAAAGCGAGTCTATTTTTGTCTTGTACTTTGTTAGGCAGTCAAAAAATCACGTAGTATATAAAACCAGCATACGAATTTTATATTTTTTATATTTTTTATATTTTTACG